TTCAGATCCCACATACGAGGGCCGGTAACACTGCCCTCCACAGCTAAGATGCTGAACAACAGCTCAACCTGGAGCTGGGCTGCCCTGAGTCGCCGGCGACAGCGTAGGCTGCAGCCCCTGTGGCAGTGGGTTTCCATGCGCTACCGTGTGTAGCCAGCAGCCAGCGTGAGCAGCCAGCGGCCACAGTGAGCAGCCGTCCAGAAGCCAGTGACTGATCTGCCTCGCCCAGGAAGAGTGCAATGATGGTGCCAACTTGGGCCAGTGAAGCAATGTCTCCACAACTAGACCGAAGAACAAAAAGGACAGCAACTTGTCTGTTCCCCTTCCCCCAATTCCCCAATAAAAAAAAATCTTTAAAAAAAGGACAGCAACTTGTCTGTTCCCCTTCCCCAATACCCCAACGCTGTTCCCATCCCCCAATTCCCCCAAAAAAATCTTTTAAAAACAAATAAATACATAAATATTGAGGTAAATTTCATCTAATTGGTATGACCTTTTAGAATAAATGGAAGACTTATCTAATTGTAGCTTACACTTGCCTTTTTCTTTTATTTTTAAAGTTTATTAAGGTGACAGTGGTTAGTAAAGTTACATGGGTTTCAGGTGTACAATTCTGTAATACGTCATCTATATAGCACATTGTGTGTTTACCACCCAGAGTCAGTTCTCCTTCCATCATCATATATTTGCCATTTTCAAAGTAATGATGTTTAACTTTTTGTATTGCAGTCTTTTTTGAAACAGCTTTATTAAGATATAATTTATATAACCATACATTCACCTATTTGAAAACGTACACTTCAGTGTTATTTAGCAAATTCGCAGAGTTGTGCAAACATCACTACAACCCATTTTAGGACATTTTCATCACCCCTAAAAGAAACCACATACCCATTGACAGTCACTCCTTATTTCCCTTCTACTGGCTCATCACAAACTTTAATCTACTTTCTGTTCCCATGGATTTTCTTAATCTGGACATTTCATATAAATGGAATCACATAATATTTGATCTTTTATGACTAACTTATTTCACTTAGCAAAATGTTTTTGAGGTTCCTCCATATTGTAGTTTGTATCAGTACTCCCTTTTTATGGC